CCCCCCCCCCCTCACACACACACACATGCACAGCACACCCCTGCGCTTCCACCATCAAAGACAAGGTGCCTGGATCTGCTAATTGCTGAGCTAAGTACCCTGGGCAGCTGGCGTCAAATTAAATCAATGAGCGTTTTACCGGGAGCAAACAAATATTAGATAGGCATTAGACAGCGTGGGGCTGCAGGGACCGTGGGCCACTGAGCTACAAGGGAAAAAGAAAAAACAGCCTCATGCGCCACAGTGTTCCTGTCTGTCCTGTGCCAATCCATCCGCCCTCTGCTCCTCATCAATCCAGCCTCACACCTTCTCTCCCTCTCCCTTCTCTCCCTCTCCATTCATCCTTGCACACTGTTTTTATGTCTGTCCATCCCTCCCACTCTTCCTCTCTCCCCATTCCTTCTTCAACCTTCCATCCCACTGGTTTCCCATTCCTCTGTCAATCTCCCTCCCCACAGTCTTTCCCTCTCTCGTCAGTCACATACTGCTTTTATCTGCCTCGTCATCCACCCTCCATCCCGCTCCCTCTGCCGTCCCCGTAACCTCGCTGCGGTTCTCTCCCACCCGCCGCCGGGTTCACAGCAGCTGGTGCAGGGCCCAGAGCAGCAGGTTGAGGGGGCCCTCGTCCCCCCCACCCCCAAGCACGGAGAAGGCGGATGGGGCCCCCGCTTCCCTCACCCCCTCTGGGCACCGCAGCACCCGGGTTTGCCCCCCCTTGCCATGAAGGTGTCAGAGTGTGTTCAGGCGCCTTGTGCACCCCAGCGCCCACCCCCACCCCGGGGGCTTCCACCCCTCAGCCCCCGGGCGCGGGGCAAGTGCCGGGGAGGGCCCGGGGCCACCCCGCCCGTACCTGACGTCCGGGCTGTACAGGGCCAGCCTCAGCAAGTACAGGACAGCGCTGCCCAGGCCCACACTGATGAAGCCAATGAGGGGAATGAGCTGCAGAGAGAGAGAGAGAGAGAGAGAAATGAAAAATACCCCAATAAAATGAATATTTATCAGGCCGACTGGAGAGTGAAAGGGAGAGCTGACACACCGGGAGATTTACAGGGGAAATATGGCAGAGCAATCCTGTAGCTGGGCTGCAGTACACAGTGTAGCTGTCAGCTTGAGTGACTGAATTAAAAGAGGGAGAGAAAAATCGGCTCGTGTTGGAGAGGAATTGGATTTGGAATGAGAAATCACTTCCCTTCCACCTGCTGATGCCCGGTGCTGGCGCTGCCTGGTGTGGCCACGGGTGAGGGCCCAGGGGCCCTGTTCTTGGCTTGTGTGGTGCCCCCAGTCAGCTGCTGAGCCCCAGCTAAGGTTTCCTCCTCGAGAGACTCGAGCCTGGGCAGGGTTTGGGAGCCCCACTGCCCTGCTCGGGCAGTCGCTCTGTCCCCCTGCTGCACCCCCCCCAGGCCCTTCACCCCTTCCACACCATCTCCTGGTGGAGCATGAGATGAGGAGGGTTCAGTTCATCTTCCCCTGCGCCTGCAGCAGAGACGGACTGGGGCCAGGCATCATGTGGGTGGCCGAGCAGCTGGGTCCCGAGCAGGTCCTGGGGACACGGTGACAGCACAGCGTAGGGGAAGGTGCTAAGCCCCCCCCCCCACCCCCCCCTCCTTCAGGAGCTGCCTCAGCCCTGCAGTGGGCGGGAGGTCCCTTTGCCCCGCTCTGTGCACACAGGGGCTTTCATCGCACCTTTGCAGGGCAACCAGCTCCATCTTCTCGTCTCCGCTCCCCCCCTCCACTCGCGCTGCCAATCCCCCAGTGCCCAGGGGGACGCGGCCTCAATTGGAGCCGAGACGAGGCTGCTTTGACCTCCCCCAAATTGCTGCGGCCCCTGCGCCAGGGAAGACTGTCAGAGCGTAATGAACCTCCCTCCAACCTGCGCCCCTGGGAAGGCAAACATGGCCGGCGCCGCGCAGTGCCCATTAGCGCGAGCAGGGAGCGGGGGCCGGTGGAGCTGCGAGTGCCATGCGCGCCGCGCAGTTTGCGTTGCCAGCACCTGAGCGCCTCGGTTATATTTGTAGTTCTGCTTGGCAGCTTGAGCTCTTAGCAAGTGTCTCCGAACCCCCACCCGACCACCCACTGCATGGTGACTCAGTTTCCCCACTTGGATGAGACCGGGGGAGACATGACTCTAAAACATGAAGGAAAGGGCCTGTCCAAACCTCTCTGCTCTCTGCCAAGCACCTCCATAACCTGCACAGGGAGGTGGTCGACACACAGACAGCCAGATGTGTCCCCCTCCCAAGTGCTCCCTGCCCAGCCATCAGTGCCCATCTGGAGCCCCCCCCATACTCTCCCAGTGCCCCCAGCACAGCCCAGCAGCGCCCGTGCCCAAGCCAAGCAGCGCTCTGCGTCCGCGCCGGGTGATCAAATGCCCGGCAGATGCCAGCGCCAAGTCGGGAGGTTGGAGGCATCAGCAGATAATGATCTTTTGCGCCGTGTGCGGCTGGGTGCCAAGAGGATCTGGCAGTAGCCGCTACCCAACTGCGCCGGCTAATCAAGACGAACTCCACAGTGCCGGGAATTGCGGTGTCTGTTGGAGGAGATTCGGGGCGACGGGTTCATCTCACCATCTGCTGCTGACACCTTCTGGGTAATTAATGCCTGGGAAGAATTAAGGGTAAGGGGGAGCTGGGGGACTGCTCATGCAGCAGGCGAGGGTCTCCAGAGCTGCAGGTGCAGGCAGCAGGGCCCGATCCCTCCTGAGACACGCACAGAAATAAACAAGATGTGCTGAGAGGTTGACCTTAAGCATATGGAGAATTAAAATGCTGCTCGTGTGCATGCAGCATTTGCCCTTTAACCCTGATTGTGGGGACCTGTTGGAGCGAGGCAGATGCCATCCTGCTCCCCAGGACTCCTGTCTCTGCTAGCAGTGGGGCCGAGCCCCCTGGCCAGGCACAGCCGGTCCCTGCCGCAGGCTGGCTGCGGCCCCAGCCACCACCCAGCACTTCCAAGTGACCCAGCAGCGAGCCAGCGCCAGCTCTGCTGGAGTGGGGATCCGGTCCCATCCCTACCGTTGCGGCTACAGAAATAGGAAGGAGAAAACACACATATGCAGGTGCTGGGTGAGGCAGGAGCCCCGTGCCTGGACCAGGTAGGATGAGTGCCTCAAGCCAGTTTCCCCTGCAGCGGCAGGACCATGTGCCGAGGCAAGAGGATGGTGGGACACAGCGCCAGGCTCTGCCCGGTGCCCAAAAGGCGCCTGTTGAGCTGTGCAGCCCTTGGACTGCTGAGCCAGGCAGGTTCATGTCCTCCTGCGCTTCACCACCCCAGTGCTCCACCGGCATGCCTGGGACATTAATCACTGCCAGGCGGGCAGGCAGCCGGGCATGCTGTGGTGGGAGAGTCTATTGCCAGGTGGAAGTGCTGATGTACCTGTCCAGCATGAGCTGCATCTGATCATGTGTAATGGATGACATGTCAAAAATTGCCCCAGCAACCTCTGCCACCAGTAATCCCACTTAACGGCACTGGGCCAGGACCAACCTGCCTTTACATGTACTGTTTGGAGGCCTCTCTGTGCCCCCCAGGTCACACAGAGTCATGAACAGAAAAGACCCAAATCCCCCCATTCTCCACACAGAACCACACATCAGTGAAGATAGCGCAGGAGCCCTGGCCTGTGCTGTCCATCATCCGCTCTCTCCAAGGATGGGAAAAGCACCCAGGCACGCTGGCTGCCTGTGCCCGCGGTGCTGGCAGCGCGCAGGCACTTGCCTTCCCCTGGAAGTGCCTCCTGCTCCAGCCCTGGACTCCCCTCCCCTGCCCCAGCCTGCCGGCGAGCCAGGCGTCGGACACGCAGCCATGGCTCATCATCCTTTCCAGCCTGGCTGCTCTACCCACCCCAAACCCAACTGCCAACAGCTTACGTGACTTTCAGCCCGGCTCTTGCAGCTCGTAAACCCTCCCCAGGCCACCAGCTCCTGCCAGGTCTCCAGGAAGGGCACTAGACAGCAGGGATAAGGACAGGGACGGGGATGGGAGTGGGGCTGGGGACCTTCTGACAAGGGCCAGGTCTCTGCTGCAGGAGGGGATCCAGCCCAGCAGCAAGAGGCCCATCCTGGCAAGGCGGGGGCACTGGCCCGGCTGCCGCTGTCTCAGGGGTCTGTAGTTGATGAGGGTTTAAGCATCTTTGTACACAAAACCATCAGCTTGAAATTTTGATGGCAGGGGACAGGGACAGATCAGGGCTGGAAGGATGGGACTTGGCATTTCAAACCCGGGGCTGCCAGGGCTAGTGGGGAGAGGGCTTGATTTCCACTCTCCCACCCTCCAAGATGCCCCCGGAGCAGGCTGTAGCATGGGCAGAGGACACGGAGCAGCACCCTGCACTCTGCGCCAGCTGCCACAGGCGTGTCTATCAGGGTAAGTAAGGGTCGATGTGCTCAAAGTCCAGCCCGGCTCAGCGAAGGAGCCCTGGCCCCTCGGCAGCACTGGATGGAGGGAGTGGGTCAGCAGGGTGGTCCCACCTCTCCTTGGTGAAGGAGGGCTGGGGACCGCCAGGATCCCCCGGCTTACCTGGGGGATGCTGTGAGAGCCAGGAAGAAGCTGGAGAGAAGGAACAGGCTGGGAAGGCACGGGGAGGGCACAGCAGCTGGACCAGGAGGCTGGGAAGGGGTTTGAGGAGTGGAAGAGGGAGCTGGCAAAGAGTGCAAAGGGCAGAGGAGGGCAGGAGGAATGGGGAGGGTGGGAAGGAGGGACGGAGGCTGCGGTATGTCCCTGGGAAGTGGAGAGGGGTAGAGGGACGAAGAAGGATGGAGAGGAACCAGGGGGGTGGCCCTGGAGAGAGAGGGTGTAGGGGACTCACTCCGGGGTGCCGCTTGACGTGCCGGGAGAACATGGCTCCGAGCAGGGGGCCCTTCATGGCGAGGATGTGGGGAAGGTCCGGCTGCGATGGCAGGTCCCCGAGTGCCGTCTGAGGACGAAGGCTGGGCGGGAGACACAAGGGAGGCGTCTGCAGCAGGGCTGGGAGGGACGGGGCGGGACAGGACGGGGATCCCGGCCCAGGGACACTGCAAGCTGGGAGAGGGAGGCTGCGGACCAGGTCCTGAGCCTCTGCCCCTCCCAGCCTCTCCCCTAGCGAGTCCTGATCACTGGGGTAATGACGAGCTTTGGGTGCCTGAGCTCCCCACATGTTGCTGCACCCCAGAGGGCATTCGTGCCTCGGTGTCTCTCTCCATACAAGGGGCCAGTCCCTTCCTGCCACATGCGGATCCTTCACAGGGTGCTCCGTACCTTCCTGCCAGGGCGAACGATGAGTCCTGTGATTTGTTATGACAACTTCACTGATGTTTGCTGCCTCCCCTCAGCGCCCCCCTCCACCCTCCCATTTATGATAAAACACCCAATTTACATTTAGCAATGCAAATCTCCCTGGCAGTAACAGATGCTGCTGTGCATATGGAAACCAGCTATTTGTATCCACTGGCTCTTAACAAAAGACTGGGGAGATGGACGGAGTGGGCAGCCGACAGCAGCAGGCTGGAACTGAGCAGGAACTGGGCCGCCCGTGCCCTCGCCAAGGGGGGGGCTGTTCATGCTCTGGCAGTGGCAGAAGCCAGTGCAGCTCGTGTCTGGGGGCAGCTGGGGGCAGAGCACGGTGCTGATGCGCGGCAGTGTCACCTGCCTGACCGGCACAGTCCAGTCCCCTTCCACCGAGGGCTGGCGGCCAAAAGCCGGTGCCCCCCACCCCCAGAGCCCACTGCTGCCCCCCCAGCCCAGCAGTCCAGCCGCCCTCCCCACCCCAGCACCCTCTGCCCAGCCCAGCACAGCCCCGTCAGTGCCCCTCCTCCCGAACCTCATTTCTTTCAGCGAAGTATGAAAGGACAAAGGGGAGAAACTTCTCTGGAGTGTGTGGAAATAAATAAACAAGACCTGAATTTCAGCCAGCAGCGCCGTGTTGAGGCCTTTGTTGATATAATTAGAGTTTTGAAATGGGATTGATTAAGTGCCACTCCCCAAGACAGAGTGCATCCTGCCCTCAGCACAGGCACACGCGTGTCCTTCGCCGTGTTCTCTGCCAGCGGCTGCTGCGGCATGGGGACAGCAGCGTGGGGCTGCGGGAGTGGGCTCACGGCAGAGGTGTGCGGGAGGAGGCCATGGGTAAGAGGTGGGACTCGTGCAGTGCCACATCCCCTTCGGAGCACCGGCGCACTGAGCAGGGATCCTGCAGGTGCGTCCAGCAGCATCGAGAGCCCAGGGTGTCCCAGTGCCACCACAGCCAGCTCTGCTTCAGAGCACCCTGCCCTGCTCCCGGCTCCCTGCGAACGAGCCCTGGCCTTCCCCTGGAGATGCAGCAGGATTGCCTGACCACAAAGCCCAGCTGCCTCCGTGCTCATTAATGACTGTAATTAAGAGATAGTTTAATTCTGTGCGGTGCTTGCCTCTTCTGTGGTGACTACAGCGTGTGCCCCGCTGCTCCCAAGCCCTCCTGGGTGGTCTGCAGCTGCTGCGAGGGGCTCAGCCTGCAGCGTGCTGGGGGGCTCCAGCGCTGCCCATCCCCTGCCCCGAGGGGGACACAACCAACACCAGCGAAGAGACACTGCTGCAGCTTCTTCTCCTTCATGGCTGCCCCTGTCTGCACAGAGCTGGGGGGTTGGTGCTCCTGGGAGGAACAAGACACCCACAGGTACTTCCTGGAGAGAAAAGAATTGGAGCAGCGGCCCTCGGGAAGCGCACACGTGTGTGGACGCTCACCTGCAAATGCAGCACTACAGGGAGGTGCGCACACATACGCGTGCACAGACGCAGGCCTGCCCGCACGGCTACACACACCTGCACAGACGTGTGCACAGACACCCTGTGCGCACACCTGTACACACACCCCCCACACCCTCCCCAGCAGATGCCCATGGACACACACACCTTTACAAGCAGACACAAGCTTGCACACGTGCATGCACACAAACACGTGTGTCTAGGTGCACACTCAGGCACGTGCCCACACGTGTGGGCAGCTCCCCGCACACAAGGGCTGTGGGGAGCTGCCCCCGTAGGGTGGGGAGCTGCAAAGACAAATGGGGTGGGGGGCTGGAGAGAGCCGCTGGGCCTTGGTGTCTCCATGCGCAGCTGCTGTGGCGGGTTATTTTACAACCACTCCAAAAATATTATTCAAGATGAAGGAGAATCACGGCTGCTGCGAGCGAGCGCAGGGCCGTCGCGGGGAATTTATCATTCCGAATTGGGTGCCCCCCCCCTGCAACGCCGCGGTGATGAAGTGCTTCATTAATGGGAGATGCTGCGGCTCGGGGCTGAACGTGCCTGCACCTGAGCACACTGTTTCCTCTGGCTCCCAGCCCTAGCACTCAGACCCTGTCCTCACGCAGCCCCCCCAGCCCCCCAACCACCCTCCCTGCTCCGCACAGCCACCGGTGCTGGGGCTGCTGCCCCACAGTTCACAGCGCCCCCCCCAGCCTCCCTGGCCCCACAGCTGGCACCCACTGGTTGCACACCCCCCCCCCCCCC